AGCCACAGCACCACTTCTGGCTTTTTTCTTTTTGCTTATGTGGTGCTGAGGAATCGAACCCAGGGCCTCATGCATGCAAGGCAAGAGCTCTACCACTGAGCCACCTTCCCAGCCCAGTATAGTAGATTTTTAAAATCATGAATGATACATGATTGGATCATGACAAAACATGACTACTACATAACAGTATATTGAAATATTCTGATTCCCTTATCTTTTTACCAGGCTACTGCTGTATATGTGGTCCATCATTGACCAAGGCATCCTGAATTGAACTGCACAGAAAGTGCACACAGAGTTCTTATAATTGACTTCTAAGGCAATACTTCTACTTTACTTTGTAGAAAAAGTATTAAATGAGCTTATTGCTCTGATTTTTTTCTGTTTATATGTTATTGAGGAATCAAACCCGGGGCTTCCCACATGCTAGGCAAGCACTCTACCACTAAGCCACATTTCCATTGCCCTAATTATTAAAATATGAAATTTTGTTTATCATGATTAATGAGATGTTTATTAATATATTGAATTATTAATTTGCTATGTATTTTAAAGAGGATGGAAAATTTGGAGTCATGTGAAATATATGTGTAAAAAAAAGTAGAGCACTACAGAATTTCAAAAAAAAGTAGAGAATTGACAGAGAAAGACAAGTATTAAAGGAGCATTTTTAGGATAAAAATTAAAATGGGACACTTGTTTCTCTTTATCCTCTGATTGGCAATAAAAACAGAATAAATATTCAAACCCTTTCACTTAAGCTTGTTATTTCTGCTTTATTTTTGTGTTTCTTGGATTTAAAATATTTCATCCACTTGTCTTATAACCAAATACTTAGCTTTAAAGGGAAGATTAGAATATATATCAAATTGAAAGAAAAATGATGGATTGTAAATGAAAATGTTGAATTTTCTAATTTGTTTTAACACACTTGTAACAACAGTACAAACAAGAATTGCATTCAATATTGTCTAACTGTAAATATATCCAATCTTTCGTTCACTCTTAAATGCAAGATGGCACCCATTTTTGTAATCAATTGTTGAATGTCTAGCAGATACTAGGCTACTTGCTAGCTTCAAGTAATATAATGCTGCTAAAGTGAAAGTAAAACCAAACAAAATTCAACATATTTTTTGAATTCATTAAATTTTGAGAAGCGCAATGCATTATATAGAGGACATGGTCAGTATTTTCAGAGAATCATAATAATGACTTACAATTACAAGTAAATTTCCTCTCAAGATTCAATATACTTATTAATTGATGTATTCAATGGTAACATCTTTGTACAACTATTTAAAGAAAATAAAAATACAATTTAAAACATAAATAAAAGGACTGAGAGAAAGAATTACCTAGGAGAATTCAGGGCTGGTGTTATAGGGAAGCATTCTTCTTTGCCATGTGAAGGCATTTGGGTGATGAATAGGAGAACAGATATATTTCAAGTGAAAGAAATAGCCTTGAAAATCATTTGATCACAAATGGTCAAATCAACCTCGAAGAACAGAGTGAAAGATTTTGTGGCTAGAAAAGACATATTCTAATATATATGCGGGTAAGGTCAAATAATCATTTTGGCATGTCATAGATGCTAAGTGACAGTGCCCTGAATTTAAATGCAAGGTAAGAATGTCCACTGTCATTTGTGACATGGATAACATTAATTCCACATGAAAGAAGTAAAAGTCACCTTAAAAGATGGTAGATGGATTTATCTAATTTACTGTAATCAGAAAATGGACAGATTGGCCAGGAACCAGTAGCTTATGCCTGTAATCCTTGCTACTTAAGAGGATCTCTGTTCAAAGTCAGCCTAGGCAGGAAAGTCCATGAGATTCATATCTCCACCAGAAAACTGGAAGTAGTGCTGTGGCTCAAGTGGTAGAGCACTGGTCTTGAACTGAAGAGCTCAGGAACTTTGTCCATGCCCAGGGTTCAAGCCCCACAAGCAACAACAACAGTTGCCAAAAATGACAGAATGTGTGCAAAACTTTCAGGAATTAGAAATACATTTACTTAAAACATGTTTAAAGATGGAAGAAAAAGATTGAGAGAAGTTTAATTTGGATGACATATGTCCTACAGACATAAAAGTAAAGGACTCTTCTAGCATCTATCAGGGAAAAAGTTGAGTTAGTAAGAGTGATAAAATTGAAAATATTGCACTCAAAGTGTAAATGTGTATGTTTTGAGAAGATTTAATGTTTAGACCATAACAAATTTATCACATTTTATAAAAAACAACAAATCAGAATAAGCTAGGCTTTAATAGCTCACACTTAGAATCCTAGTGACTCAGGATGTTGAGATCTGAAGATCAAATTGCTATGTGAAGCCATACCAGGCAGAATATTAAAAAGATTCTTATTTCCAATTTAGCAGCTAAAAGCTAGAAGTGGAAGTGTGGTTCAAGTTGTCAAACTTCAGTCTTGATCCAAAAAGCTATGTGAGAGCGTAAGGCCTTGGCTCAAGCCTCAATTCTGGGGTGCAAGAACACACACACAAAACCACATACGGTCACCAACAAATGGATTTTTAGTTTAAAACACTTCTGGTGTAATGTTTTAGGAAATGTTCTAAATACTACCAGGAAGAATTCATTAATGATCTACTATGTCCTGTCTCCATTAATTCTGTTGTACTGAATTTATAATTGTACACCTAATAAAATTGGTTTTCATTAATCTTTAACAGTGACTTATAAGAGCTACATTTTCCTTTTATATTTTCATCAATTAAATGCTATAAAAATGACAAATATTATGTATGGTTACTTAAAATTACTTATGGATTGTTTTTACTTTATTTTCTTTATCTTCAGCACATTTTGTATCAGGCATTGCACATATTCCTATTTCATTCTTTGTGAAAAATCATCAAAAATAACCAGTATTTGTTATGGTTAGAGGATATCTTTACTTAGAGACAAATATCTAATATGGATTCAGCTGGCAGCTATCAGCTAGTTTTGATTAGATTTATAGAGATTTCTGCGTAGTCTTAAATACTTCTGAATATACTCCTTTGATATATAATGCAGATTCTCTGATTATTGTAATTTTAATTTTGACAGGTAGAAATCAATAAGGATGTTTAAGTGCTGGTCAGCTGCTGTTTTGATTCTTGGATTCATTTTTCTGAAGTCAGAAGGAAGACCCGTGAAAGAAGCAGGATATGGCCTTAAGTCCTATCAGCCACTAATGAGATTGAGACATAAGGTATGATCAGCATTCTAAATCTGCTCATAAGGCCATCAGATAAAAATTAATCTATTAGTTACTTAGCTTATGAATTGAAGAACAGGGAGTTTATTATATCCTTTCAGTAATTCCATTGAATAAAAAATTACATGTTTTAAAGCAGAAGAAAGCAATGAATATGGAAATTTACTATTTGGGGCATGAAATACCTTTTGATTAAGAACAGAATTGGCCTGATTTAAAGTATGTATATTATTGGCTGGCAAAATGGCTCAAGTAGTGCAGTGCCTGCCTAGCAAGTGTTTAGACCCTCAATTCAAATGCTAATAATCATTACAATCAATAAATAAATAAATTAATTAATTAATGGAGTAATAGTAATAGATTTACATAAATAAGGAAATGTGTTGAAACATAAAAACATGATTTCTAAATATTACTTTTATATTTACATTTAAGTTTAATATATTTTAACAAAAATGGTCTGGAATTTTTTATAAAGATAGCATGTCTATGTCACCTAGAGAAATAAAGATTGAAAAATATATTGCATAGAAATTATTCAATATTCTAATTTCCTTGAAAACCATAAAATTCACTCACTTAACAAAATCAAAACTAGAGCATTTGTTGGATAAATACTTCCTTATTTTAAGCATCTTAAGTTCAAAGTAAATTGGTATCTAATTGTGCTGTAAACCATATAAATGCAATAAATTAAACTAGTTCTTTTATTAATAAAAGTGTAAAATATTTCAAACAATATGCTCAAGGAACTCTTATTTTCTTAAAGTTTAGAATATATATTGGATTTTTACATTAAACAGAAGATATAACATGATAATTTTGGAAAGATATGTTTATAAAATAGGTTATACTACTTATATTTTAAAAGATTTTGAAAACAATTAAACTGTAACTTTCTCCCTTACATTGAGAGCATAATATAGGCATATTTATAATATCTGTATTTCGTTGATTTTTTTCATAATTATGATACTGTAGTGAAATATCTCATATTTACCAAGATTTTTAGGCACCAAACATTAGAGTGTTGAAGGTCTGACTTAAACCATCAAAACAATTTTGTAAGACAAGAAATACATATTTTTCATTTTATAAATAAGAGATTAAAATTCAGAATGTAGATTTTGGAATGTATAAATTTATTAAATGTATTAATTAGCTATCCATATTTAAATTACTGATCTGATAGGAAGAACAAAGAAAATAAAACCTGAAAATGCTGGACTGGGACGGTGGCTCAGTGGTAGAGTGCTTGCCTTGCATGCATGTGGCCCTGGGTTCGATTCCTCAACACCATATAAGCAAAAAGAAAAACGCCGGAAGTGGTGCTGTGGCTCTAGTAGTAGAGCGCTAACCTTGAGCTGAAGAGATGAGGGACAGCACCCAGGCCCAGAGTTCAGGCCCCAGGACAGGAACCAAAAAAACCCCCAAAAACCCAAAAAACAAAAAAAAAACCTTAAAATGCACTTTAAGTGTCATCATAATATTTAATCTGGTGAAAAAAACAGTTTTTATAGTTTCTACCCTAAATATATACAATTAGAGAAATGTCCTTATGCTTTTGGTTTTTAGTTATCAGTGTTATCACTATATCGTATACTGAGTCAGTTTGATCCACTCCAAAAGGAAAAAAATCAATGAGTTCTTTTAGGATGACATTAGAACACATTCATAAGATAAAGATTTATCTCACATTGTTATGTATAAAGTAGATATCTCTTTATGATTTTGTATGACTTATTCATGATTATTTTATTTATAATTTTCCTGATTGCTTCTCTGCAAAACATAATATCTTTTGGGCATCATTAAGTGCATTATTATTTTCAGTTAACTTTAGATCTTTAAGTAACAAGATGCTTTGTTGTCCAATTTAATGAAACATTAAAAGAACAAAATTACAGCATGAATTATATATATTTGAGAATCACTAATGCCCACCAAAATGTTTTATCTTCTAAGATGGCAAATCTAGTTAAACAGTTAAATCTAATTAAATAGTTGCAAACAGTATGTGATATTGGGTACTAAAAATATAGAGGTATTTGGGAGATAGAGATTGGGACAGTTATAGTACAAAATGTTCTTTACTTTCATGCAATTGTTCTAACATATTTATAAGATTATTTATTTGTTGTGTTCTATGTCCCTTCCCCACGATATAATCCCTGCTTTCACTGTATTTGATGTTGGTATAATTTGTGGAGGGAAAGCGAAAAAACAAATCGTTTAAATAGGGATACAGGTCGACCCATTGCAACAATGAGATGTATAAGTCGTTATGTCGAAAAACGAAATTTACAACTTTGGCGAGGGGTGGGGGGAAAGGGGAGGTTATGGGGGGGCGGGATATGGGAGGGGATAGGAAGGGAAAACAAATGAGGAAGCAACAATGCTTGCTAAGAAATTTACTCATTATCTTGCCCATGTAATTGTAACTCCTCTGTACGGTATTTTCATAATAAAAATTAAAATATAAAAATAAAAGAAGATATAATTTCAAAAAAATGTAAGACTCCATTTCAAACAGCAACCATCTGTAGTGATATGTATATTTAGTCTCAATTACACTAGAGGCCACAACTAAAGGATAGAGGTGCAGGTCTAGCCTTTGGCAAGAATGGGAAACCTTCCTTGTAAAATAACTAAAGTAAAAAGGGCCAATGGTGTGACTCAAGTACTAGAGAAACTGCTTAATAGGTGGAATGCCCTGTATTCAAACTACAAGACTCACATAATGATAAAAATGATAAACAAACAGACATAATAAATGAATAAATAAAATTAAGAAAAACACAGAGGCAAATTTGCCATGGAGACAGGCTTTGGGTAATAGTAATATTAAACTACAAAAATATATTTGATGTGTTTATGTATGTGTGTATTTGTGTGTGTGAGAGAGAGGGAGGCAGGGAGGGAGAGAGAAAGAGAGAAGGAGAGGAAGGAAGAAAACAGAAGGGAGGGAAGAGGAGGAAAGAGAGAGCATATGTATAATGGACATATAACAGGAATGAGGAGGAACTCAAAGTTGACCAAAGACCTCACCTGATGCCTACTATTCATTTTCACCACCTGCTGGATTCTGCAGGACTACCTTCCCTTTTCTGTAATTTTGATGATTGCACTTCATGCTTTATTTTGTATCTAGCACTATTAGAATTCCCAGGAAATCCAGGTCATCATTGCACATTTCCATTTTCAATATGTCTGACATATTAGCACAGTCTTCCAGAAGCACTGAAAATAGAACAGTGAGAAACAACAGGCAATGTTTCATGTCATGACTTCTGTCATGACTGATATTCATCCAGGAAAGGCATTACATGTATTTCACTTACACATTAGTTTGTTGGATATTTTTTTTCATTAGACTGTGAACTTTTTCCTTTTCCTTGTTCTCTAAAACCAAAAATAACATTTAGTGTGTGGTAAAAACTTTGAAAAGGCTGAAATAAGATGATATAGTTATAGAATTAATAAATAATCAACCATTATCTAGCAGAATGACATAACATAACTGTAATAGAATGAAGTAATGGAACAATACTTCAAAGTTTTAAATAACTTAAGTAGTATTATATAAATGAATTTCCTCTAATTTACTTTTTGGGTTGTTCTTTTTTTTTGGGGGGGGGGTTCATGGAGCTTGAACTCTGGGCCTGGGTACTGTCCCTGAGTTCTTCAGCTCAAGGCAAGCACTCTATCACTTGAGCCACAGTACCATTTTTCTCTAATTTACTTTTTAACTATATAGTTTTGTTTAAATATAAATATAGTTCAACGAGAAAATAAGAAAATGCATAAGTAGGCTTTACATGGCATAAATATCATGTTTTAAATTTACTTGTTGACTAGAAAGAAATAGAACAAATTAAAAAATTCATTTTTATTCTTATTACTCATGTTCCACATTTTTCCCAGAATAGTATCATTATTTGAATCTAAATAAATCTATATGTAGGACTCATTTTTACCAGATATTTATGTAACACCTGAATAGTGAATCAATATTGAGAGCAAAAAGTGAAATGTGAGAAAAACCAGGACTGGGACTTAGAACTCTGTCACTTGAATCCAAATACTGTGCTCCTTTTTTTTCTGTCTTTTTTGACTCCTTGCTGACCATTTCTTATCATCATTTGTTCTTTTTTACATTTTTATGTCTTGCTTAGTTGAAATTTGCCATTATAATTTAAACTAATGTTATAATTGTAATCTTGTAGTAGCTATGATCTAATATTTCAACTTGTTAATGTGCTCCCTAATTGACTGAGTAAAGAATCATAGTTTAGTACCAAATCTTACAACCTTTTTTTGACCCAAGGCACAGAACACACATCTATGTTGTATTAAAGTCAGGCTTGAATGAAAATCTTAGAAGGACAGAAGTATGCAATTTATAATCCTGTGCTCAGAGAACATATTATCAAGCTTTGTTGTGCACAGCTACCTCTGCACATTTACACTGATTTATTATTCTTTTATTTCCTAAATCAAAATACTTGTCTGTGAGGGTAGTTTCCGTGCAAATGGGGTAAAGACTGTTGCTCCTCAAAGAAAGGGTGCTATCACTCAAAGATGTGATTTGTGGTAAGTGATTCTTCTTTCTTTTCCTTTTGGTAGTAAAAGAGAGATGTAGCTTTGTAAGGAGTGGCAGGAAAAAACTCCAAGAAAAGGTCAAATTAAAGAAACATCTGTCAGAACTCTCAGAGCTCAGAGGGTAGATCCTTCATTCAACTCAAGTGGAAATATTTCCTGAGGAAGATGGAGGCACATCTTTCAGAAATATCTGAGTGCCAGCCAGAATTTTATGAGAGACCCTTTAAAATGCCAATGATTTGCTGTGGTCAGTAAGCAACTTGCATTTCCAGGTGTAAGCAAATCTATAATAATCTGCCTTGGGGTAGCCGAAGATAAAATAGTAACCATAAATTAATTAAGCTCAGGGCCTGTGGATTACATCTGTAATCCTACTATGCCAGAGGCTGAGA